TAGTGGTAGTGGTAGTGGTAGTGGTAGTGGTAGTGGTAGTGGTAGTGTGGTAGGGTCTATTTATAACATTATTGACAATTCAATAAATTCCTACCATGCACCCCTCTCATCGCGTTTTCTATGTCTGTTCCGATTCGCGAAGAAATGCTACAAAACACAATTACTGGTTGCTGTCCATTATCCAGATCTTGGTCCCAGGCCCTCTCAACAAGTTGGAAGCAGTCATTGTCCAAGTCATTCTTTAGTGTTTTTATGATGTCTTTCTCAATGTATCTTGTACTGAGCTGATCACATCCTTTGATCATCAATTCTACTTATCAAAAGAAAAATAACGTTTTAAGAACTTGGTGAGTGGTGAGTGCACAAGCAGCCCAATCTCTTGCTCTGTGGTGTTGTAGTATTTCGTTTCATGTAAAATTAGTATGCAAAAAGCTATCAAGGAAGTCCTTTTTATTCTTAAAAGTACTAATTTTACATGATACGAAATTGGGTTGCCTGTAATGAGTGGTGAGTGGTGAAGCAAAAATAAATATCCTCAATTACAACAAGTATTCCAACAGTCATCTGTATAATCTCAGATATCTTATAACCTCAGATATCTTATAACCTGAGAAACGGCCTAAAGGTATGGGATTGCTCTCTGGTGGTATTTTACATCCTAAGAAGTGCTAAATCGCAGATTTGGAACACAAAAAGGCACAAGTGCATCAGATCCATTTTCCAATCGAAGTACCCGGCCCTGCAATGTTTTTTTCTCCTCAATTGAGCGTAAAAAAATCGCAACCAAGTTATTCACTTGGTGGTGGGCGCGCGAGTGGCGTCTGATTACAGACAACGTTTGGTCACGCCACAGAAAAGACTACACAAAATGTGTAGGCCATGAGGCTATTTGAAAAAAAAGTAATAATTAATTCAAACGACATCGCTTCATGCTTCGCTTCATGTGTTTTGATGCACAAAGTAAAGAAAAGCATGTTCGTCTACAGTTATGGCCTTATAGCTAATAATGAAGCTTCTGGTCTTATCAGTTGTATAAACAAGCTTTATATACTTCTTTAATAATTTTCCAAGGAAGGAAAACGTTCTGCTCGATCAAGTTTTACAACGGAAATGTTGTCTGAGCGGCTGTTTCATGAATCATATGAATAAATAGAGAGCTCACCAACACATTCGATTGGCAAACATTCTTTCGAGGTACGAATTACAAAAGTAAGGTGAATATGTTTTACTAAATTACGATGGATTACCTGATTTGCGTTTTCTCGATAACCAGGCCAACGAACCGAGAATAGGGTTAATACCATAGGATACACTGAACCAGATCACCGTCCACGAATCTTCAAACTGTGATGGATTGAAATAATCAAACCAATAACGTCCAAAGTGAAAGGGAATATGTCGAAGGTATTGAACAGGCTTTTCATCTGAGAAAAAACAAAGCACGGACGTTAATTAAAACAGCCAAACAAAGTCCAAGGGAAAAGTTGGATTAATAGACAGCTACTAACCTCTTCTTTTGGCTCGAATTGTAGTTAGAAAGGTATAAATTGCATTCATATTTTAGTCTGACAGACCTAAAATTGTTGAGAACGACAAGAAGTAGCAAATTTCCGAGAACTTTATTGCTATTGACCTATATAACTAACCAATCACATTTAAGATCTGGTGTCACGCAAAAATACCAAGTCAAACAAAACAACACGTGGCCATTTCCAAGGTTTGGTTTTTCTAGGAAAAAAGGAGATGGGTAAACAAAATTAAGTGTTTACCATAATGTCTGTTCACATGCGTTCTAACAGCCATGGTCAGAGTAAACAAAGGCTAAAGCTTCGTCAATATATTATTCGATGTGACAGACAAATCTCTCACCTGAGACATGTTATATATTTTCTTCTATGACCCAAAACGCATCCAACCAATCAGAACATCCTAAAAGATCACACGTTGAGCTTTACCGTGACAGAGGGGCTAGGTTTTCCAAGAAATCGTTCGAGATAATGAGTATACGAAACGCAATGATGTGTCTTGCATCCAACCAATCAGGAACATTTTAAAAGAGATCACGCAGTAAACTTACCGTGACACAGGGGCTTAGGTTTTCCAAGAAATCGTTCTACGAGAACTAGATACTCTTACTTTTTTCTTGTCGTATTGAATACAGACATTACAAAGCAGGAAGGTAAGAAAAAGATTTACTACCGTTTTTACTAAGCTATTTATTGTATTACTTGAATCAAGTAGTATTTATAGTTCTAATCAATAACAAGCCCAAAGAAAACGGGTGAATGTTCGTCTTCCTCCTACTTTCGGTATTTCAACGAAGAAAAATTGCACAGTAAACATTCCGAAAAAACAGCTTTATGACAGTGCTCTGCATTGGATGTCTTGTGCTAGTTTCAACTGAATATCGATTGAATGTAAGCGAGGAAAGGATATAGATTTCACAAATTATTGTTAATAACAATCCGCTCCGTATTTGTAATATAATTGTACGTCCCCATATGCTTATACACCCTTCTAATAATTAGCGGCGCCATTTTGAATAATTAATCGAAGACGTCAAACGTGGAAGATGAGCCCTTTGTTATATATATATTTCCCGCCACTTTTAACTAAACACTACTCGTCCTGCAGGTGTATTTAGCTCATATTTAAGAAAATTAAAAGTATTAGAGCTTTGGCTTCAGTTTGTGAATGTTCCAAATTTCTATAAGTATTATTTAAATGTCATGGTTGGAGACGAAGAAGAAATTGTTGCGGCTCCAGCTGATCCAAGTTTTACATGCGACAAGGTAAGTTAGCTGAAATAACAATATGCTTTTAGTCTCTAAATAATGATCTTGACTATTTTTTTCTGCCTTATATCTTTTAGCTAACATGCAAAGATATCCCAGGCTCGGTACTCACTTTAGCAAAGCCAAAAAAAAAAAAAAAAAAAAAAAAAAATTACAAGAAAAACGAACTATCCTTTTGGTTAAAGTGCCGGGGGCAGAAGAGAAAATCCTCTGACACTAAAACTGAAGTTATTTCAAGGTAAACCAGGGAAGACAAAGGAATATTTATAAACATTTTGTAGCTTTTAAGCCTCAACATACCTTGAGTCTCAAAGGCAATTCAATTTTAAGAATGTCTTACAACTTTCAATTATAAACTATATTTGTTTGCATGAATGAAAAATCAATATGAGCATAGTTTGTATATAAACAATTGATTGATTATAAAATTGCTTTGATTTTAGTTCTTTTAGAGAAAGGCAGAACTTTGATAAAGGTCCACTGATTGTTGACCCTGATCCTGGGAAATTTTACACAAGAGCTAAGAGAATGAAATGTGATATATACTCTGAGAAAGAGTCAAGAACAGCAGTCACTCAAGCTCCAGGATTAGAAACAAGAAACATCCAAGGGAATCGGAGCATAGATACGTACATCTGAACTCTCATCACATTTAATTCGGCGAAGCCATGCTTTTTTCTACTCTGTTGGAATTTTAATATATATATTTAGGCACTGCCTAAAAGCGGAGCTCCCGATACGAAATTAGGGAGCCAGGGAGCCCAAATTGAATGAATCTGAAATTTAAAAAAAAGATCGGGAAAAAAATCTTCAATTATTTTTATTCGAGATGAAGATAACGTATCCTATAATAAAAACCATGCATTGAAATCGAATCAAAATGCACTACATTGTTTTTTTATGCGCGATTATAGTTTCCCACTTAGGAATTTTGAACACAACTCACCACCAGCCACCCCACGGGCTATTTTTGTTCTTTGAAGATTCTTCGACAAAGTTTTCCATGGCCGCCATTTTTAAGCTTTGAATTCCTGTTTAATTTTACTTTAAAAAAACGAAAGATAACTACAGACAATCCAACAAAATATCAGGTTTAGTGAAATTTACCTTG